TGATTCACTTAAAGAGAAGAGGCCCGAATTAATCAACAGGAAGGGTGTAGTGTTCCACCAGGATAATGCGAGACCTCACACAAGTTTGGTCACTCGCCAAAAACTTTTACAGCTTGAATGGGACGTACTGCAACATCCACCATATTCTTCAGATCTGGCGCCTTCCGACTACTATTTGTTCCGGTCCCTGCAAAATTTTTTGGATGGCAAAACCTTTACCTCAAATGAAGATGTCAAAAACCACCTGAACCAGTTTTTTGCCAGCAAGGACCAAAACTGTTATGAGAGGGGAATTATGTTACTGCCAGAAGGATGGCAAAAGGTGTTGGACCAGAATGGCCAATATATAATTTAATAAAATATTTATTCATTATACGAAAACTGTCTTTCATGTTCCCCAAAAAAAAACGAAATTATTTTCCGAACAACCCAATATATATGACTTCAAAAGTTAACAAAAGCGGTACATAAATTTGTATAACATTTTCATGTAAATCCAAAATAGTAAAAAAAAAAATTTTTTTGCAATTGTATTTCCATTTTTGTTAAGTCTATAGCATGTACATTACATTGCAGAAAAACATACATTGGAAGTACTATATTGATTATGCTTTATTTTTTGAAAATATTTACTGGTGCGCGAATGCACCACCGGTTTTATCTGCGAAACAAAACTTTGTTATTGCAAGTCTAGACAAGTCAGCGCATGTAGAATAAACATCCAACAATTAGCGTGTTCTTTGGTATTAGTTTGTGCCTTGTGCAGTGAACGTTGCAGTTCATAAAATATGGCATTTCCGGCGACTCAAAAGGAATTAGAGGCGGCTATGAAGGAGATCGTGATGGATGAGGACAATAACAATGAAAGTGGTAAGTATTATTTGGTTTTACGTATTCTTATGTATTGTAGGATTCAATTCCTTGTAAATTTATGCTAAAAACGACGTGAAAAAATATTTACAGAACATATTGACGCGGTCTGTTAATCCACCCGACGTGGATACCTTGACTAATGAAGAACATATGAACCATAACATAAATCTACAAGAGTTTGGGAACCAACTGATATAGTTGGAACTTTCGAGTTACATACATCAAATGATACAGCTGTCCTTCAACAGTCTTGTAATTCATCAACTACTGAACCTGAATGGGACTCATCAGATGATGTGCAAACGACAAATGGAGGAAAGGTCAGATTGAGTACACTCACACACCTATATCCGATAAATTTAGATCATGTAAGGAACTAATAAATAGGCTTTCTGGAAAAACTCCGCTTGAAATATTTCTAATGTTTTTTTGATAACGAAGTGACCTCCATGAATTCTAGTTGTCAAAAAATGAGCTTTTAAATTTTGTAGGCGTTTTATTGTTCTCGTTCACATATTTAGCATTATTGGTCTACTGATGAAGACAAAGGAATTGACATTATAAAAAAATGTATGAGCCGCAATAGATTTCAGTTGATAAAGCAAAACTTGCACTTATCTGACAATAATCTTCTCTGATGTAATGAATAAAAAAAATCTTCAGTTTGGAATATTTTCGTTCAACTTATCCATAGATGAACAAACGGTACCTTTCTTTGGCCTCCATTTCTGCAAAATGTTTAGAAGGGGTAAGCCGGTTCATTTTGACTTCAAGATTTGGTGCCTTTGTTCATCTGCTGGGTACCTATTTTATTCACTTCCATATGGTGGTGCTCAAAATAAACCCCTTTCTGACTTTGGTCTTGGCGGTGACGCTATCATGTTGTAGAAAAGCCAGTAACTCGCCAAGGTTTTGGTTATCTTGACAATAAATAAAATAAAACAAATAAATGTCCAATGGAAAATTTTAAATCCTTTGGAAAAAAAGACCGCGGATCCTACCTTTCAGCATATGAAACTGAATCAAAAATTATGTATGTATGTATAATAGAAAAGAACGGAAAGATGTAAGTATACCCCAACCTTATGTAGGGTAGATTTACATGACAACGGAATTGCTAATTACAGGTGCCAGGTATTTGGAAAACAATGGTGATGGCCTTTACTTTGTAACTCACTGGATAGTTTAGTAGTGAATATTTATGATAATCAAGGTCACCTCATGATTGTTTATGCTAATAAAGCCCGAAGGAGATGTAGAATCTAGAATTATACTTTTGTAATAAGTGTAATATGCATTTACATACTTCATGCTTTGTAAAATATCACCAAAAATGAAACCGGGTGCTACCATTGGTGGTATCAAATCAGATTCTATTTGGAAAACAATCTACTTTTAGTTGTTTTCTGTCAAATTTGAACTTTCTTTTGTATACTTATGTATAAGTTATATGTTATATCTTATGTGCCCAAAACATTATTTAATTTTTTTCCCAGTGGTTCGTCCACGACCAGAATTTTCGGGATGTCTAGTTCTCTAACAACAGCATTACAGTTCAACAAGCCAGTTGGTATCACAGTTGCCAAAATGTTTGCGTTTGAGCGCATATCAGAGGCTTTAAACTAAAGTCTGTCCGCTGTTTGTGCAACTTCAAAGGCACCGAAAATAACCAGGTTTTTTAATCGCGTTTAAGAAACGATGCACTTCAAAGAGTTGCAAAGCTCTATCCCTATACGAAACATTATTTAAGATATGCAATCCAAAAAGCAACAAAATTACCAAAAATGAACCAAATCCATGGACCTTCCTGATATTGATACTAAAAGCATTTAACTTTTGAGGTCATATATACAAAACAAACATAATCCTTTGTACTACAGTGTGCTTTCTCGAACGAGAAATGCCAGACAAACTACCATGCTGGCAATAAAAATGTATTCAATGAAGATACATCGCTTGTACTTTCTTCGAAAATTCAATACAAAAATTGTATTCATTTTATGCCAATCTACTCCCCTATTTCTCATTTAGTGATAAACCAACACAGAAATACGTGGCAGATGACTTGGCAGCGCAGTATGGCCATAAATTCTTACGATTACGATTGAATTTATTTGGGAAATTACAAATAATCATAATATTTAATTATAAATATTTTATATATCTCTAAATGTATATTGCAGATGCTATTAATAATTATTCTATAAATTCCACTGCCTCTAATATCTTGCCTGACCAAAATCCTCTAAAATTTTATAAAAATGACGTCATTTAGTTAGTTTTAATTAAAGTCTACCTAAGGGAGTTAAAGTGCTGAACATAATTAAGACCAAGGCCGACATCGTTGTCCCATAATTGGGCAGTATATTGTTCTCATAATTAATGAACGCATTTTGTCTTCATATTTTCCTATACTGTGGAAACAAGCACAAATGAAAAACCTACACAATTTGCGTTCTATAAGTGGACAAGCAAAGAAGACCATTTCTTAATATTTACAATATTTTAGATCGGATTGATGACGGAAATACTTAAGGAATCAATCTCTATATATTTGGCAGTGAACAACAGTTAACTGTGGCATCGTTTTAGATCCACATCTGTTTTGCCATTTTTACTTCCAGGTTTACAACATCATTACAGCTTTTTGCACTTTTATTATAGTATTAATTCTAATTTCAATAGATTTTACGATTCTATCACTCTCGTACTTAATACTAACAAATCCTCATTGAAATGACAATAAAAATTATAATAATCACGTAAAATTATTTACAAAGAGCTCGTTTTGCCTTTTTGTGGCAGGGGCAAAAGTTTAGGACTTACTGTACATTCTCTGCTAAAGTTTAGAGAACATGTCGCAAGTTAGTTAACTGTTAATAATCTGCCACAAAGTCACAGCGTGGTGCCTGGTCTAATCCTTTGCCATGAAATTTAATTCTGGTTAAAGCAATTGATTGACAAATAAATATCTTGAAATGATTTGAAACATTGTTTATATTGGAAATAATAATTCCATACAAAGCAAAATATTTCGACCAATTACTTTTTGATTTTATTATTATAGCTTATTGTTTCGTTATTATTGTAATATTCGGTTGATGTTGAGTAACTGAATAGTAATTTTTATCATTATTATTATTAAAGGAAAATATGGTAATGATGACAACACTGCACCGACCGAGCTTGATGACACGCTACTACTACTACTTTTATAATACGACCAAAAATATAGTGCATTTGTTGCTTTGACGTTTTAAGTATTTAACGGTACCTTAAACGCAGACCATGGTAAAAACAAATCTTTGTTCTGCATTAAGTAGGTCATGCCTGAGATGGGCCGTAACGAATATTTGTAGAATTTTTTATTTGAAACGTAAATGGACAATATTACAATATTTTCGTATATATTACGGATGTATTTCACTGTTCCAGTAAGTACGTATTTATGTACCTGAATCTGGAGCTTTGACCCTGCGAGGCTGTTTTCACTGGATAGTTCAAAGTATCCGTACTCAATTTATCGCACAGGTTAATTTGAAAATAATAATTTTTTTCTTGTGTGCTTCTCTATTAACAATATTCTTCTTCTTGTATTTTTGTGTCTTCTGCATAGTTCTTCGATTTGTAAACGACAACAGTCTTTTTCAGGACTATGGATTATATTTGCGGTGGATAAAGGTACGTCATACGAATACAAATACAACTGTTTTTTAACACTTTAAAATATGAAGACCGTGGAATGAGGCAGATGTTTTCCTGACATGGAAAACAACGCAGAATTTGAAGACGAAGTGGAGATCGTAGTCGAACCTAATAACAGTTCAATGATAAACAATTTTTTTTGAATGTTTACAATTTTATAAGAAATTCAGAAGGGGAGGTAAAAGCAGGAATAAAACGGCATAGAACGTAATAAATTGTTACTTTGTTCTAATTTTTTTAACGTACTTATATCCCGCTTGTTAATGTAGATAGATAAACTCCTAGGACGGTCCTGTAATGATTACGGCTAAGGGTCTGCGCATAAGGAGCTGGGGTTTTGGAGTAATATACAGTAGGCGTCCGTTATAAAAGCACTATATTTCTGGTCGAAGTATACTACTGTATGCAGTTCGCAACGTTACCTAAGATTTTCTTTAAACATTTGTAGGCCATGTAGCCCTGCAGTCCCGTGCAAAACACCCCGTACCATATCGACCAGAGGTTGTTGAGGTGGACGCCACCCCGTTTCTGTTTGGTCTTCCTCGTCGGGGTTTCGTCGGGATCGCTCGACTTGATCGCGTGGTAAGCCGTTTTGCTAGACTTGCTCGTGTCGCTCATTCTGTCGTCGAAAGTTTTCTTAAAGTCATTGTTATTATCGTATTTGGTGGGGGTTCGGCAGACAGGAGACTGCATCTTTCGGGATGCGATAACGGATTGGGAAAGCCTGCGAAAAAAAAAGAAAATATATGAACGATGTGCCGTTTCTGTCGCTGTTAAAGCAGATTAAGTTCAGGCGACGTCACCGCCTTTTTTGGAAAAGGTTGCCGAACCCGTGCCTAACAAGTTAAAGGTCAAAATATACAAATGTTTAATGCCCAACGAATATGATTTTTTTCTTAGTATTAGAAATTAGAAAAGAATTAGATAAAATTAATAAAATGAAACAAAGCTATTTATTATTAACATCTAATAACAAAAAAAAACGGTTTAGGCTGATTTGTGAAACATTTTCCTGAAAACCGTTAAAAAGACAAAAAAAATATTATTAGGAAACGACTTAAATTTTTTTAGGTGCCAGGTGTGAAATCATCTAGTTTTTCCATACGAGGACCTAAAGAGTATGTGGACTAGAGTTTCATATTCGTGGAGATTTCATACAACGCAAAGCACAGTATGGTTGAGCTTATATGGCAAACAAAAAGCTAAAATCCCGGTCCTGTGCAGTGGAAAATTAAACCTAAGGTATTATGGAAAATAGTCACTTATTGTGTAACTGTTGTGAAATATCGTGTAGTGAGAATTTCGGGCCAAGTCAAGATCAGCCTGTATTTAATTGAAATGTTAATTTATAATTAAAACAAGTAACTTGACCGGAAAGTTTAGGCACATGGTTTTATTTTAGTAGATAAGGCGAAATAGTTCAAACAATAATAATAATACCTTTTCCCTACTTAATTTTTTTAAGCGCGCCCCCTGGCGGCCATTCTGGGACATAATTTGGGTATGTCGGCCAGATATTTGTCAGTGTCATATTATTTGTGAAAAACTTTTAGATTTGTTTGGTAAATTATTTGGAAAACTGTAAATTTTCGAGACGCTGTTTAAATTGAAAAGTTTTGTAATTTTTCCGCACGTTTTCGGCGATGTTCCATTTACCTTGCGCCGTTTTATACCAAAAAAAAAAACAATATTCCGTAAATTAAGGAACAGCGACGGGGGAGTTCGTACAGCGATAACAAAATTTAACGAATGTCACTTTATTAATCCTCGGCGCTGAGTAGACGCGAGAGAAACGAAGAAAACAAATAAGCAAGGACCGACCGTTTCGCCTTAAGCGGAATTTAATAATAAAATTTTCGAAACTCGATCCAATGGCCGACGATGCGACTGCAATAAATGGAAGTCAAAAACGGATGAATGTTTCCGAATAAATTTTAAATAAATAGATACTTATTTTGAAAATATCTTTTTACAATTTAAATTCAAATGACTTCAGAGACTCGCTTCCTCAGGAAATCTACTAAAAAAATGCAATGATCTTTAAAACTAGAACTTCTCTTTTCTTTTGAAATACTGCAGATCATTAAAACAAACTAGCTTTCAGCTTGAAGACTAGAAAAAAAGCTGTGTTATACCGAAATACAAAAAAAGGTAATAAGTAGCCGAAAACTACAAACAAACTGAGTCTGACCGGATCACCTTCGAAAATAATTATTGTAAAAGACCTAACTACACAGTAAAGCCATATAGATTCTTACTGTATCATTAGAGTGGAACCATATGGTATTTTGCGTACATTTATGGTTCTTTACACCGTTAAAAATAATGCTGCATATTTTTCTTTGAAGGTACCGCTGAGAACCCTAAAACAACTGCTGTCATGGACCCAATACAAAGAACATCACCTTTACTCTGAAGACTCCAAAAAAGCTAGGTCATACCGAAAGGCAGAAGAAGAGAAAAATAATTGTAATTTGTAAGTAGTTCTCAATCAGGCTTCTTGTAAAAGATCTACATTTACCGACTTGCTAACCAGACTATGCCAATGGACACGACACCTAAAGTGTCGAAAAAGCTTTCGATAAAATACCAAACCAACCAATTATCTCATTTATAAAATAGAGTCAGTACGAAGTCAGAGGAAAACTGCCTCCGCTTAGCCGAGCTCAATGAAACTTAGGTTCTAGTGGGAACGGTACTTTCAAAAAATGTAGCGGCGTACTCCACTTATCTGTTTTGGTTCCCTTGTTGTTTACAGTATATCTTAGTATATAAACTCTATCCCGAGTTTAAACTAGCCAGTCTTCAGAAGCAGGTGATGCTAACATCTACTGAAACTCGTTTAGCCTCATAGTGATCTGAGAGCTATGAAAATGTGGACACAGCAGTAGAAATTTTCTTTCGATGATGTTAAATGTACCATTCTGTGCATAGGTCAAACAAATAAAAATAAAATTTTGAACAAATAACTGAAGTGAACAGGCTTCTAGCCAAAAATATTCTACTGTAACAGCTGCTGTACAGATATGAACTGCATATTTCATCTCATTTAAAAACCCATTTAAAGATTATTCAAAGGATATGTATTACAGCTGGAATATGGGCATACTTACTCTGTAAGGAATATCCAACCGCTGACGGTACCTTTGGAATTCGTAAATACGAATTATAAGAATGAATTAAAAGTCGTAAGTCCTCTTCTTATAAAGTTAGGAAAAAAAGTACAGTAAATTACTAAAGTTAAACCTGTACAGTGTTTCAGGTTCAAAACTAAAGGTCTAAAAATGTTGGCCTTGATTCAATTATTTTAATTCTCTTTCTTTCACTTGCTTGTGAAGGCCATTTTCAATTTTCGACAAATACCAATCATTAGGTATTGTTAGGAAATTTGATAATAATAATGATAATGATAATAGGCATTTGAAAAAATTAATTTTCCCCAAATTTTGTGTCTTACAGAAACGTGATTTTACTAACACATTGTAGAAGTTGCTGCCAAAAATATTTTATATCCTAGTTGGCGCTTCTTTTCGATACAACCGGCAACGCTGTGACGCAGACCTAATTTGAGTCGCTGAAAAAATGGCCAGTCATCAATTGCAGTTCTTAAAAGTTGCGAACTACTCGTACATACAATAATAATAATAATAATAATAATAATAAGAGTACCAAAATAAAATTGAAAAGTGTGTGCGACAGTTTTGCTTCGCTTTGCGCCGGAACGCAATGCCAGTGGCATTTTTAAATAATTATATTTAACGAGCTTTACCGCCCAGTTTACTGCGGCAAAGTTTGATGCCCCATCTTTACAACGGCAGTTAACTTGGATTTTTCTATTACGTTTAACGCGGAGATGGTAATAAAAAGGCCCTCAAATCTTCGGCATGTAATTGCATTTACGATAAGTATTTTATTAGATTTTTATCGTCGCTGCTAGGGCACTGCCGCTTGAACGTCAATTTGAAATCATTAATTGACTAAAAGTGTTTTTCTTATACAGAGTGAGTCAACTCTAGATTAAAGTTCATTATCTCGTTTGTTTCAAAAGTTATGAGAAAATTGAAACAAAAATGTTGTAAATATTTAATTATTTGAAAGGCGTTTCAGAAAAGGGTGAAAAAAAAAGCGTAGGAGGGGGTGGGGCAAGGCGGGCCCCCTGGGTTATAATTATAAATTCTTATTATTTCTACATTTTTAGCCATTTGCGTAATACCAGGGGTAAAATGGATTGCTTAAAAATTCTAAAAAAAAGCTTTTCCATATTATCAAAACCGAATCATAATTAATTTATTGAAAGCGTCATCTTCTGGATAATTCTATGAATTTGCCAGAGCTTTCGAAAATCTTATAACTACTAATAAGAAATTTTTTAATAGATAGAAAAATAGTTACTAATCAGTAGCTTTTTTTTAATCAAATACTTTTTAATAAATTATAATAATAATAATAATAGTAATAATAATTAATAATAATAATAATAATATTTCTTACAAAACAATTCTTTACAAAGTTTTACAAAATGCATGAACAAACAAAACGAACAAACAACATAACTATAACCAGAAGTCAACTTATAGGCAAAATTAAGATGAAACAGTGATTTATACTTAAAATCTAAAAATGACCTATTCCCTCAACATAGTTTTAAAGTTATTGAAATTATCACAATTTTTCAAGGTATTTGGCAGTTCATTTTCTGAGAGACCCTTATACAGAATAGAATTTGTCATTTGGTTAGGCCAATACCTATCTACTAAAATAAAATCATCGGTTTCTCGTATAGTAACTATGCACGCTGTTAAAATATTTTACTTTACCACAGATGTAATCAGGTAACAGTTGATTTCTTAACTTATACATAAAAATATTTGCATCATAAATAATTCCTTGTTTAACCGCCATGACATTAACAACATTTGACATTAAGTTTACAGGAGTGTATCTCTATGATCGACTTTAATGCTCTATTTTGAATTACTTGAAACTCACTTATCTTATAGTTCGGTAAGTTATACAGGAGTGTGTGTTATATACAAGGTATTTGGTGTACATGGAAAGACTATGGCCTATTCTACATATAAATCCTACTTTAAGTGAAAATTTTTATGTTTTCTATATTAACAGTACTCAATTTTTGTTTTTTTTTTTCAAAAATACAAAATTTAGACTTTGACGTGTTAATATTAAGTTACATAGCCATTCATATATTCGGTTCAAATCACTGGTAATACTACGTGTCATCTGATCTACGTCACTACCAACTATATAAAACATTGTATCATCTGCGAATAATTCAATTTTACCTTATTATTATTAATGATAATTATTACATATAACATTATAAATAGAGGAGAGCTAGAAACTTCGCCAAAATTTGGGTAAATTTAGTCAAAGGTAGTCAAAAATAAATCGACTTCATGGTTAAAAGAAACAAAAAATAATAAAAAACTTAGTGGGCTTAGTTTGTTAATAGTTTTGTCGTGGCTAACTAATACTATGAGTCTTAGAGAGAGAAAAGGCGAAATATTCGAAAACACAAAATAAATCGCATAGGTACATGATATATTTAATGAAAGTTGTAAGTTTTTGTAATGAACCAAGTTTATTTATCTATCGTGAACACCCTGTAGTATATAGTTCCAATTCCGTTGCATATATCTTTTACGTCATCAGTGTAAAAACAACTATTTTTTTAGAAAAATTAAAATATTGGAAAAACTGTTA